CCTTAGCTGGTTGAGCTATAGGAGCCGAGCCTCTAATCCCAACTTTTACCATCTGAGTATTCTTCTTTTTCATCATCCTCTCGAGTAGCTGGGACTGCAGGTGCCACCATGCCGGGTTAATTTTTCTATTTTTTGTAGGGATAAGGTCTCACTATGTTGCTCAGGCTGGTCTTGAACTCCTGGCCCCAACAATCCTCCTGCCTGGGCCTTTCTTTTTCTTTTTTATTGTTGGGGATTCATTGAGGGTACATAGAACCAGATTACATTGATTGTTTTTGTTAGATAAGGACTCTGTCTATAATTCTGTCCCGTCCCCAGTTGCCTGGGCCTTTCACTGTGCTGGGGTCACAGGTGTGAGCCATGTGCTGGTGTGGTCTAATTAACGCTTTTTCAGTTTTCACATTTAATTCTTTGAGCCACTAAAAGTTATGCTGCGTTAAGAGCAAAGGTTCCATGTATCTCGAGCTGCCCTCTCAGGCCACCCAGTCCTGATGGGTAGGTGCTATGTCTGTGTCACCCCGTGAGGGACGGTCTCTCTTGTCCTAGGGAGCACCTATCCCTGTCTTGTTAGGGTGATTCTTTGGGTGACAGGAGCAGATACTGACTCTTTTTGCCTTTGTGACGGCATCTGTCCTTATATGGCTTTGCTCCTTTACCTGTGGTAAGTTACGTGATAGGTTCCCTGGCATTGAGCTGTCTGTGCTTTCCTGGAATGAACTCCTTTTGTTATGTGTGTTGTTCTTCTAATGTACTGCCGGCTTCTATTTGCTTGTTTCATTTGTTTTGTCTGTTGTCCATTTTTTTTTTTTTTGTATAGCCAGTCACAGGTGAATTGGGTGACAGCTGCTACAGTGGCTACAATAGGAGAAACACTTCACAGGTGTTAGAATCACATAGTGTGAAAGTTGCAGACACCAGGGTGAGATTGTCCTGTCCAACTCAGATAGATTGGAGCTGGGACAGCCCTGAGGGGTAGGCTCCTGCTTGCACGTCTAAGGGTTTCTAGGGGGCCCCCTGAGAAGTCCCTGCATATCCTGCCCTGCCTTGTGCGTCCATGTGTACATGTCCTGCGGTGAGCAGGCTATCACCAGACACTCCTGCAGACTGCAGCGACTCTGTAAGATGCTCTCAGAAGAACACTGCCCAGTAATGGCATCCACTTTGGTGAACTGGTGGCAGCTCTGGCTCTGAGCCTCCAGAGTTACTTCCTCTGTGTCTAAGCAGCTCAGGTGAATGTCTCTGTACTGAATAAGAGCTTCCTTTCATGCTGGGTGCAGTGGCTCGCGCCTGTAATCCTGGCACTCTGGGACCCCACAGCAGGTGGATTGCCTGAGCTCACGAGTTCGAGACCAGCCTGAGCCAGAGGGAAACCCTGTCTCTAAAAATAGCCAAGTGTTGTGGTGGGTGCCTGTAGTTCCAGCTACTTGGGAGGCTGAGGCAAGAGAATCGCTTGAGCCCAAGAGTTTGAGGTTGCTGTGAGCTATGACACCACAGCACTCTACCAAGGGCTACAAAGTGAGATTCTGTCTCAAAAAAAAAGGAAGAGCTTCCCTTTGTGCTTAATCCTGTGGCTTTCCGTGGCTAGGCATCCTTTGTCCTTGCTCCCAAATAAATCCATTATGTTAGGAAATCCTTTTCTCTGATGTCATTTTCGGGTTGATTGTAGGGATTGATACCCTCTCCTGACCATGGTTGAGGCTGGCAGCTAATTTGGTCAGGGTCCCTTGAGGACTTGGTCTCCCACTGTTTCCCTGGCCTGGGCTTGCCCACCCTGTGCTCTCCCAGAGAGAGTGTGATCTCTCCTGACTCTTACATCATTAAGCTCTTTATTTTCCTTTTGTTAAAAATAGGTCTGTGATGTTAGACAGAGCTGAAAACCTACTGCATGACCACTACGGAGGAAAAGAGTACTGGGACGTGAGTATCCCTGGGGGCGCTCTCCTAAAGTTGTGTGATGTGAAACAGCTGACAATGTGTTTCCTTGTCGTTGCCGATTAAAATTGTGAGGCTCCTGGAAGCCATGGGTTTTTGGCCTTTTGCCCCACATAGCAGACAGACTCTGCATCTTACTTTGGGCCGGCTGAGCTTGGGCTGGGCCTCAGGAACCCCGCTGGGCTGTGGCACTCCTGCCTCCAAGGAAGGCCCTGAGTGGAGTGGGGGGCCCCTGAGGCACTGGCTTCCTTGGTGGGGGCTTAGAGCCCTTCTTTCCTCTCTGTTTAGTTTTGGAAAGTGGGAACGTTTTCTGCAGTAAGTCTTTAAAATTGGAATTAGTGACCTTTGATGACACCACAGTTACCATGAGTGAGTAGTGACAGAGTCAGGGAGAGCAGCTGGTTCTCCTGCATCATCAGCTGGTATGTCCGTGTTGGGAACGGCTGAGAGAGCTGGTGTCTGGTTTGCCAGAGATACGGTCCTTGCTCCAGCAGGACTCTTGCAGTTTAATCCTGTTCGACATGGTGCTTACTAAGCAAAGCCTAAAATTTCAAGTTGGGGAGAAACCAGGGAGAGCCTGCTAGCTAAGGGAACCCTTTGAGTGACTGGCCACTTCTTGCCCGGGGGCCTGGCCCTCGTGCTCTGCTGGTTTGGGGTAGGAAGTGGCTTCACATGGAGCCTCTTCGAGAGCCTCTGCAGGGACAACCCTGGTTCCCAGGCACCTGTGATGGGGGAAGTGCTTGCGAGGATTGTTGCAGCAGGGCGTGGGCAGTGAAAGGCCAAAAAGAGCCCCGCTCAGGAGGTCTGGAGGGCAGGCAGGCAGTCCACGCTGCAGCCCGTCCTCTGAAACCATGGGGGCAGCGCTCAGGGCCCTGTGTGTCCACAGAGCCGGCGGAGCATGGTGTTTGCCAGGCACCTACGGGCGGTGGGAGATGAGTTCAGGAGCAGGTACCTGAACTCCACAGACCACGCGGACAAGATCCCCTTTGAGGAGGACTGGACAAAGATGAAGGTATTTTTGTTAATTAGTGAAAATGTAAATTCTCTCTTCAGATGCCCCAAAACTCATCCAATAAATTTAAGAAGTCAGAACAGGAGTTGGTGCCTCTGTCCCTTGTAGATGTGGTGGTCCCTTTCCAGAAGCGAGTTACCGTAATTACTTGATGTGGGGACGGACCCAGTGCTGAAGCTCTGTGGACCCCTCGCCTTGGCGCAAACTCCAGGAGGTTGCACCATGCAATTCTCTCTTTACTAGAATTTGGACATTGTTATAGGTCTAGACTGTAATGAAGGATTGTTTGTAAAGTGAGGTGAAAAATATTAAAGTACGAAGTAAAAGATGGTGATCAGAGTTACATTTCCAAAAGGCAGGAGTCACCCAGACTCGCCCAGAAACACTGTTAAGACCATTTGGCCTAGTATTGTCGTTTTGTTATTTGTTTAACATGTAGGTTTTTCTATAATGTAATTTCTACAAGCAGTATTTTGCTTATTCACATTGACCTTTTTTTTTTATCATTTTCATCATCTCTTTTTTGCTTTGTTTTTAACAGCAAAACACGTTATAGGCAGGAGTAGAGTCATAGGCAGGAGCAGCCTCACAGGCAGGAGTAGCCTCACAGGGAGGAGCAGCCTCACAGGCAGGAGTAGCTTCATAGGGAGGAGTAGCCTCACAGGGAGGAGCAGCCTCACAAGGAGGAGTAGCCTCTTAGGGAGGAGTAGCCTCACAGGGAGGAGCAGCCTCACAGGCAGGAGTAGCCTCATAGGGAGGAGTAGCCTCACAGGGAGGAGCAGCCTCACAGGGAGGAGTATCCTCAGGGGCAGGAGTAGCTTCACAGGGAGGAGCAGCCTCCTGGGTAGGAGTAGCCTCACGGAGAGGAGTAGCTTCACAGGGTGGAGTAGCATGGCACCCAACTATTATTGTGGAATACGAGAGTTGGTTCCAAGGGATAGGGCAGGGTTCAAGCAATAGTCAAGTTGCTTGTACATTTTTAGTGGAAAAAAAATATTTTATATGGTTTTTATTCCATTTGGTTTTTTCTAATTCAAGTGTTTAATTTTTTTTTTTAAGAGACACAGTCTCACTTTATTGCCCTTCATAGAGTGCCATGGTGTCACAGCTCACAGCAACCTCCAACTCCTGGGCTTAAGTGATTCTCTTGCCTCAGCCTCCCAAGTAGCTGGAACTACAGGTGTCTACCACAAGGGCTAGCTATATTTTTGTTGCAGTTTGGCCAGGGCTGGGTTTGAACCCACTACCCTCGGTATATGGGGCCAGCGCCCTACCAGCTGAGCCACAGGCGTTGCCCCTCCAAGTGTTTAATTTTTAAAAAATATTTTAATTTTATCCAGATAAAAGGGCCTATAGTAATTAACTTTATGGTCTTGAGAAGATATCTAGTCCCCCCGAGATTCTGTCTGCGAATCCCTTGGACAGACTTGAAGGTGACCCCTGAGGTGGAAATGCATGTCCTGCGGGGGTCCAGGGTGAGCTCCCACCTGCTCAGCTCCCCACTTCCCCCAGCAGTTTCAGCACGTCCTGTGGTTCTTTGCTAGGTCAAGCTGGGCTCTTCACTCGGGGGGCCCTACCTTGGTGTCCACCTGAGAAGGAAAGATTTTATCTGGGGCCACAGAGAGGATGTGCCCAGCCTGGAGGGGGCCGTGAGGAAGATCCGCAGCCTGATGAAGACTCACCAGCTGGACACAGTGTTTGTGGCCACAGATGCCATCAGAAAGGGTATGGAGCTTTAACTCGAGACTCTCTTCCATTCTTTGTGAGCCATGGTTAAATTCTGGTCAATCCAGGCATGCATAGTATTCACCTGTTACTCTGGGAGGAGAAAGCTGAATTGTGTCTTCCCCTTATAGTCAGATTCTGAAGATTCCACAAGCAGCAGAGCGTGTGTGCTCCTGCAGAGCCTAGATCAAAGGCCTCTCCTTTTACTTTGCAGAATACGAAGAGCTAAAAAAACTGTTACCAGAAATGGTGAGGTTTGAACCCACTTGGGAAGAACTAGAACTCTACAAAGATGGCGGCGTAGCAATTATTGACCAGTGGATCTGCTCACACGCCAGGTGCCCCTGACTTGTCTGTCAGCTGAGGGTGGGTGTGGTGGTTCTCAGAAGGCTCATGTGTCTCCAGACGCAGTGCATCTGACCAGGTGACCACCTGTGTGCACACCCTGACCACCTGGCTTGTTTCCCTTGTCATTTTATCTGCATCTTGTGATGTTCAGCACAGTTTCCTCAGGTCAGACCTTGCGCACCGGCTTCTTCCATGGTGTGCCACTGTCATTGCTTCAGCCCAGAGCTCTCCTTCCCCTTCCTGTCACTTCCAGTCCCTGCTGTCCACCCTGCCTGAGTTATTTGTACCCTGGGTTTGGTTCACAGTTGTGGTGTGTGTGACAGGGAGACACCCATAGACTGTCCCGACATCTGGGCGCATGGGGCCTGTGTGTCCTTACTGTTGGGGCTGTGCCCACAGGAGTAGGCCCAGGCCTCTGGTGTCCAGAGACTCGGCTGCACCTCTGCACAGAAAACCAAGGTTGGGATTAGGTCAGAAAATTTTGAGCAAAATGGAAAATGAAAGTAGAGTGAATGATTTTTCTTTTGGCTTCAGAGCTCTCAGACACCCGTGATAGTGTGTGTGAGCGTGTATACATGTTTGTTGTTTCACAGCCTAACTGGCCTGGGAGTGTTTAGTTTCCCAAGCCTGCACCCCCCTCCTATGTCCAGTGACTTTCTGTCTTGCTCTGAGCATCGAGTATAAAAGATCCACAGAGGCCCTATGATGCCATTTTTCCAGAGTGAGAGTCCCCTTTTCCTGTTAGGCAGATGGGATGAGGAGCTGGTTTCTCAGTGGTATTAAGATTGGGATTTTGTAGGGGCTGAGTTACAGGCTCATCCCTGCCCTTCCACTGGGGCCTCAGGGTTTCTGATTGAGAACTTGACAGCTTGGCCCTGGAAGTTCTGCTTCAGGGAGGTTTTGCCCTGAGGCCTTTAACCTCCTGCTGTCACCCTCAGGAAGCCCTGGCTGGGTCCCCATGTGTGAAGTGCACAGCCTGGCTCACTGCAGCACTGTGCCTGCCAATGGGCACAGCCCCCTCTGGCATCCTCTCTGTCGGGGGAGGTGAGGGTCCCCCTACCATGTTCTACCTCCTACCCAGGTGCAGATGGGCCTGTGTAGGCTCCCAGCCCAAGTGCAGTGTTGTGCACACAGCACACAACTAATCTCAGATTTGATTGGTGGTTCTGTGCCGTCAGTGAGCCAGGCCCAGCACTACATGAGGTTAAGAGGAATGGGGGACTCTTGCCCCAGGGGTTGAGAGGGTCCCAGAGAGGCTGTCCCCACGAACCTAGACAGTGTGAAGGGGCCCTGGGCAGCATGTTACTGCAACTCCCACATCAGGGCCCACTGCGCCTGGGCCAGAGGACTGTCGTGCCTGCCCTAGCATTTTGCAATAGGAGGCGGCCCCTGGCAGGGTGGGGGTGCTAAGGCTCACTGTGCCCGTGGGGTTGGGTTGGGGCAGAAATGGCAGGCAGAGCTGCATGGTGTGCAGATATTGAGGGTCCCTGGGGAAGGTGGGCCAGGCCAGACAGGTATCTGAAGGGCACATGTTATGAATCGATTGATAGGTGGATTGATTCTGTGTAACTCTGGGAAACTTATGATCCTTTGCAGGTTTTTTATTGGCACCTCAGTCTCAACATTTTCTTTTCGGATTCATGAGGAGAGAGAAATCTTAGGGTTTGACCCCAAGACAACGTACAACAGATTTTGTGGAGACCAGGAGAAAGCATGTGAGCAGCCTACGCATTGGAAGATTGCGTACTGAGTTGGCATCTGCAGACACTGGACACGTCGTGAACACAGGTGTGGGCATAGGTCTGCTCTGTTCCCCAGTCAAGGATTAGGTGGACTGTCCTTCATAGGCTGCAGGACCAGAGAAGGCTACGCTTGCAGGTGGCACATCTAGGGCTATGCCCGTTCTCGGGTCTCCCTCGGCCTCGTCTGCATGTGAAGCTCCTCCACCTGCAGGGCTGTGGCTGTATTTGCAGTCATGGTCTGTGACACGCATCTCAGCTGCACATGAGGCCTGTGGGGTGATCCAGAAACCCAGGACATGTTGTCAGAGCCTGTCTTGGGGCCTTTCTGACACCTTTGGTTTCCTGCGTGTTTTAAGTGAGCAGATGCTGGTGGGTGAGTGCCCCATCTCAGGTGGACTTGGAGTTGACGTTTCTTTGGAACCGGTGTTTTCCTAAGCCTGTTGACTAATTGCACATGTCTATAGGGGCCACTGGAGAAGGCTCTTCCACCTTGACCCTGCCCTTCTGCCTGCTGGGAGACCGTGAGGGAGCTTGTTTCCTCATGGGGTGGACAGCGGATGAAGCTTCCACCTCACCTTGTGCTGGACCCTGAGGTGATGCCTCTGAGGGTCCTCCTCGCCACATCAGAGTCCAGAAACTTCCCTGCTGGAGTCTCCAGGGGAAACCTGGGGTTGTCTATGGGACACTTGGCTCAGTTCTAACACCAGAGCCTGGCTGACTGCTCTGCACTCACCTGCAGTGGGTAGGCACGTGTGTGTCCTCTGGATCTATCACTCACCATTGATTGAGAAATGGACATGAGAAGTGATGGTCACATTAGCTTTAAAAGGCTGCATCTAAGATAAACTGCTCTGTCAGGTGGCTTTTTGTACCCATTTTTACAAAAACCTTTTTCTAGGTCTTCATGCTACCACCACAAGGGCACCTGCCAGGCGGGAGCAGTGCTGGCTCGGGGCCCCTCCCACCCCTGGGCCCCTTCCTCAGCGTGAACTCCCACAACAGTGTCTTGTGACACTGAGCAGCCACTTTCTGCATCTGCTGGGGGTGCAGGGACACAGATGCTCATGACGGTTAGAAGATGGTCAGTGAGCAGGGATGGAGCCTTCCCACTCTGAGCCTGGCTAGTCTAGGACACTGCCTTCTGTGTCTTCTCCCATGATTTAAAACTGACTCTGAAAGTGCATTTGGGTCCTATGGTATTACCTGAAGCTGTGCAGGGTATATGATGACATATTTATTCTTTTTCCATTTGTACATTCAAATGTTATTAATAAAACTTTCTACAAAGCTGGAATTCTAGAAAACTACCTTTTTCATACATTGGATTTTCTTTAGGCTGAGAGATACGTAAAACATTTTGTACTATAACCATGTGCCTTCCTATGGCAGTTGGTAGTCAAGGGCAAAGTCTCATTCCCACTGCACAACAGAACGTGGAAGACCTCTCTGATTTCCCAGAAAGCAGATTGTGACCAGATGTGGTGGACAGTGGAGGGCTGCCCCGCTGGCCCCATGAGTGCTGTGGGTTTGAGCTCCTCTGTTAGGACACCACCTTCTCCCCCAGAGTTCCCTACTACTCAGGGCGAGCAAGGCCTTGCCACCATCCACAGCAGCCCATCTGACCTCTCTCGGTTCATTGGACTCTGTTGGGAGGGCTGTTTGGGAGAAAGAATTCTGCTGTGGAAGGCAATTTGAAAATCGCCATTTTTTTTTTTTTTCCAGTTTTTGGCCAGGGCCCAGCTTGAACCTGCCACACCTGGTATATGGGGCTGGCGCCCTACTCCTTGAGCCATGGGTGCCACCCAATTGCCATTCTTTTAAGCAGTGAAGAGATGGCATTATGGCCTTTGTTTACATGGTAATGGCAACAGACCAGCCAGTATAAGGAGGCGGTGTGTGAGAGGAGGATAAACACTGAGCGCAGGAGCCAGAGCTGAGTGCGAGTGTGGCAGCTGCCCTGGGGGAGGTGGGAGCCAGGAGGGGCTGAGAATGGGACGTGCTTGTGCCCAAGGTGGCGGCACACTGGCCTGGCAAGAAAGACGTGGGGAGCCTGTGGGTGAGGAGGCTCTTGCCGCGGACCGTGATGGTCACAACTGTTAGAAGAAAAACAGTTCATGCATCAGACAGCACTCACCTTCGGGGAGCTCAACCCAGCAACACCGGCAGGGGCAACTGTAGACAGAACAGGGAAGCAACGCATCCAGATTGGCTACAGCTACCTCGTGTGGGCGTGGTCTGATAAGTAGGCAGCCTGTGATTGGCTGAGACTCAGCTACTTGTTACAAAGAAATGGTTCTTGGGTTGCAGTTTGTGAAGGTGCTAAGTCACATTGCAGTTCTCCACGTGGGCATTAGAAGTATGGTGGCAGACTTAGGCCAAATTTGACAAAAGGACCAGGTGCCCACAGAGTCCCTAGGAGGTGCTGTGGGATCTGAATATAAGGAAGGGGGTGCTGGAGTCCAGGTGGATGTTTGGGGGGCTGTCTCAGCTGCTGGGGTGATGTGGAGCATCTTCCTCCTCTTTCTTTCTTTTTTTTTGAGACATGGTCTCCCTCTGCTATCACCCAGGCTCAAGCCATTCTCTTGCCTCAGCCTCCCGAATAGCTGGGACTACAGGTACCTGCCACAATGCCCAACTAATTTTTCTATTTTTAGGCTCGGCGCCTGTAGCTCAGCAGCTAGGGCGCCAGCCACGTACAGCAGAAGTGGCGGGTTTGAATCCAACCCGGGCCTACCAGACAACAACGACAACTACAACCAAAAAATACTTGGGCGTTGTGGCGGGCGCCTGTAGTCTCAGCTACTTGGGAAGCTGAGGCAAGAGAATTGCTTAAGCCCAGTAGTTGGAGGTTGCTGTGATCTGTGACGCAACAGCACTCTACCTAGGATGGCAGTTTTTGTTTTTGTTTTTTTTCTATTTTTACTAGAGATGGGTCCTGCTCTTGCTCAGGCTGGTCTTGAACTTCTGAACTCAAGCAGTCCACTTGCCTCAGCCTTCCCGCCTGGGATCACAGGCATGAGCCACCACACCTGGCCTCCCCTGTCCCTCTTTTTAAAGTTAACGGTCTTGGGCCATGCAGGATGGCTCACTTCACAGCCTGACTGCTGGCATAGCTGCACCTGGGTGGGCACTAGAGGCACCTGTGTGCTGCGGCTGTCAGAGAGGGGGAAGGGACATCTTCTGCGGGAGGTTCAGTGGGGCCTGGGCCCCACTCACATGACTCCTGCTCCACCAAGTAGGGATTTACTTTGTGAAATTGTCTTTGAGGATGGGCCCTTGTCCCCACCCCCATGCCCAGGAGTATTTTGGGAGATTATTTTCTTATGATAATCAGTCTGCCCACTCCTGGAGCTCAGCTGGTGGGAGACTTGCATGCAAATGACCTTCCCAGCTGAAGGTGAAGGAGGCTTTCCCTGTACATGCTACAACCGAGCCCTCCCTTGTCCTGCTCCTGTGAAGCCACATCTCTTGTCAGTGAGGATGGGCTGTGGTCCCTGAGTGGAGCCCGCAGGCCCAGACAGGGAAGGGTATGGGTTCTCACTCTGGGTTTGCTCTGCTAGCAGAGGGGAAGGGATGTGGGCAAAACTCATGCAGTCCTCTGAGCTGGAGCCAGAGAGCCTGGGAGGGGTCCTGTGAAGCCACAGCCAGGTCCTCTCTGGGTGGACAAGAGTGAGAAGTTCAAAGATGTTATTTGACTGACTTTTAGAAATCCCTGTCTGGTCACCGTGCCTTCTGCATGGCCCCTGCGGGTGCAAACCTGACTCACGTTTTGGGTGTCGATGCCCAGAAGGTGAGGGTCACAGGCATCCGTGTGGGGAACAGGCAGGGAGGAGCGGGGTCATCCACCCCGTAGGGACTCCTGGGAGTTCCACAACCTCTGACAGGGGAAAAAGAACCATTCCTGAGGAGGAACCTCTGAAGCCAGGTGGGGAGGGGAGTGTCTCCTGCCCTGAAAATGCCCAAGAAGAGGCTGGGCGAGGCATGACTTGAGTGCTGTGGAGCAACCAGGCCGGGCCCTCCAGCGACCAGGTTCTATGAGTTCCACACCCCAGTTCTTCCCAAAGCTATATTATCAGTCAGCACCTTGTCCACTGCAAAATAACAAAATCCTGACTGAGCTGACTTAGCAAAGAGCACAGACAACCCCCACAGATGGCAATTAAGTCTGCCTTCAGCATGACTGGTTGCAGGGGCAGGAGTGGTGCTGTTGGGATCTGGTCCATGCCCTTTCTCTGTTCTGCTTTCTGCTGGCGCCCTATCCTCTGCAGGCTCCCCCATCACAGTGGCAAGAGGGTTGCCCTCCCCTCCCACACCCACACCCAGGCGGTAGTCAGGGCTTGACTCGCGTTGAGCAATTGGTCAGACCTGACCCAAACAATCACATGGCCTGGGGCAGCATTTGTGGACTGGTCATGGCTGCCATATGTGGGTGTAGTCACCCACCCAGGACCCTGGCAGGCCATAGTTCCCTCTGCTTACCTGAGCAAGTGAGGTGGAGGCTCAGGCCTACTCTGCACTCACCTCATGGGGCTGGCATGCTGGGTAATCCCACAAGCCCTTTCCATACCCAGCCCCTCATGTGCACATCTGGGCAGGACAAAGGCCATGTCTTAAGCCCTACTTTCTTCCTTCCAAGGTCGAATTATTTTTCATTCAGTGACAGTTGTGTCTTGTGCAGTCACTGGGGCCTCCAGCTGTAGACACAGAGAAGACCCCAGTCCAGTGCCTGCCCTGTGATCCTCTCCCTCAGAGCTGGAGGCAGCAGAGTGAGGAGAGCCCAGCAGGGTCTGTGCCCTCCCAGGAGGGGCATCTGCCAGGCACTGGGCAAGGTAGGTTGTAGCTGGACGCCTACAGCAGGGTAGAGGGTCCGTCCAACCTCTTCCCTCAGGAAGTCGGGCTGGAGGACAGAGCTCTCTGTGCCAGGTCCGGCAGCAAGTGATGCCACAGCAAGGCCCTGCCCACTCCCTCCACACCCCCTCCACCTGCCACTGCCCACACAGTCAGGGATGAGCTGGACCTTCCTGAGACATGTCCTGGGGCTGGGCCTTCTTGGTCTGAGGACAGATTTTGGCCAGCGATGACACTGGGTGGTCCCTGGCCAACACGCAACTGGATGCCACACACTAGGTCCTCCTGGGGGAGGGGCAGGCAGAGGAGTCCAGAACTTTCCCTGGCAGGTGGGGAAGGATAACAAGGAGAAGGCTAAGGGTGAAGTGCTGGCGTTCTTCCTCCCATGTCACAGGTGTAGGTGTAGATAGCACAGCTGTGGACTCTTCAGGGACAGCGGGCTGATCCCTGGCAGAGCTGCAGCTGGGTACCTAGGACCTGGGACAGCAGAAGGGCCATGTGCTGCCACTCCTGGGAAGGGCTGAGCCATACCTGGCACTGACCACCCTGGAAGCTGCTCCTGGTCACTCTCTTTCTACTGGGCTCCCAGGATCCCGAGTGCCCACCTCACTGAGCACTGTGCCAAACCTGGGGGCCCATCTGGGGCTGCGGAGGGTTTGGTTGTGGAGGTGACCAGGGCTGCTTTTGCTTCATTTCCAGTTCTCTGCTGGTGACTTTGCAAACTTAAATCCCCTCCACGTGCACACACACACACACACACACACACACAACATGGGCACACACTCATGCAGCAGCTAAGCATGCAGATGGCTGAGTGGTTGCTGCCATCCCTGACCCCCCACCCTGTGCTGCACAGCACCTGGACCCTGTGCTGGGCATACCTGGTTCTCAGCCTTGGCCTCCCTGTTGTGTGAGGCTCTGGCACCTCTGTCCACCCCAGTTCCACCTTGAGCTTGACCACCTGGGAGGAGCAGGCCCCATGTTCACTGTGTCAGCTGACTCTCTGCCCTGCCCTCCCATGAGGTCCTGGAGCCCCATCCACCCCAGAGACTCTGGCTACCTGGTGTGTGGCCAAGGGCCAGGTTATGGGCTGGACAGAGACACAGTCTAGTAGCCTCATGCTCCAAGCCATAGGACCAGCGGTTGCACCCCCCCTGGCCTCTGGCCCTTCCCCTGGTGTCACCTGTACCCAGTGTACTAGTATGGCCCCTCATTGCTGTGAGTTCCCAAAGTCTCAAGTGAGTGCCTCTTTCTGGCCCTGTCCTTGTCCCCCAGGATGGCCTGGCTCTGTCTGATAAAGTCCTCTCCACATTCACATTCTGCAGCCAAAGAACTCTGGCAGATCCCGAACTGACACCCACCAGGTGATAGGGGCAGATAACAGAGAGAGAGGTCGGGAGAGGTGCTGCTGTC